TATACACCATTACATTCCTGACACTTAAGCTTATAAAACTCCAGATTTCTTCATGTTGTCCTTGTTTTTAGCATTAAAAAAGAAATTAGATAACCCGACCTATGGTGTGAATGCCACTTCTACTTGTCGCAGTTGTCTCTGTTCTTTTACCAAAATATGTTAGAGATACACATTTCTTAATTTCTGGTTGTCTGATCTGGAGGTATATTAATCTGTGAGTAAATTTGAGTCTTCTGACTAACTTCTGGATTGTGCATCTGTTGAAACCATTATTATGTGCTATCTGTATAATTATTTTAATTTCCCTATCTAGATTGTTAGCAGATAAAGAATGCTCTGTGCAACGTTGAACTGTAGGCTGGTGACTGTCGGAATGGAAGGAATCACTTGTGACTATAATGTTTCTATAACTCGATTTTCTATACACATTGAACTCAAATTTTTTCTGATTATGTGTCATGGTTAGATCTAAGAAATTAATCTGTTTCTCTATCTCCGTTTCGAGTGTGAACTGTATGTTTCTATTGAGATTATTCATAAATGTCATAAATTGGTTCAGCTATCTAGTAGTACTATCTCTGAAAGAGGCGAGAATATAGCCTACATGTCTGTACCAAAAATGTATATATTTTTTACCCAGGTCAAAATTTACTATAGTGGTTTCCACTATAGTGGACGACTATAGTCGCTGAAGTCAGCGAATTTTCAATGCTATGACGTGGGACAAAATTAGTGATATTTTTGAACTTGTTGAGACGTTAAACTAATTCTCTTATTGGGCTATTTATATTCGAAGCTACCGGTCTTACGAGGTTATCTTCTTTATGTGTTTATTTATATTAGGCCATATAGTTTGGGGCGAGAGGGGTTCATGTTGGTGATTCTTCGTTTCTCTAATTCAGTGAAAATGAGTTTAGTATCTGAAAGGAAATTCTTTAGTTTATTTTGACTATTTCTTGTTCAGTCTTTCTTGATGACAGTAAGATTTTCATTATATATGACATTCAATTTTCTGAATGTATGTTTCTCCTTCAAGTATAACGATGGCATTCAATTTATCAGCTTTCGTGAGAACAAGATCGCTTTTTTTTATTTTTTGTGTTTAGCTTTTATTATGCCTGTTTCTATGTGGTTTGATAATGCAAATGGATGATTCTGAATTACTTCATTAATTTTCTATGGCCCTATATCTCATATCTGTCTATTTCAATGCAATAGCTGTACCTATCTGTAAATTACGTATCTAAACTGTTTTTGTTGATTATTGTTGTGCATATTTTGGGCCGTTGGACATTGATGCACCAACAATAATCAACAAAAACAGTTTAGATACGGTAATAACAGATACAGCTATCGTATTGAAACAGAGAGATAATAGAGATATTGAGGCATATAAAATCAATAAATTCGAGTTCAACGTATATAGAAAACCGAGCTATACAGACGTTACAATCCCAAGTAATTCCTTCCATTCCAACAGTTATAAATTAGCTGCCTACATGCCAATGTTGCGCAAAGCATTCTCATTACCTTTATCTGCTAAAAATCTAGATAGGGAAATTATAATAATTATACAGATAGGACATAATAACGGTTTCAACGCAGAGACAATCCAGAAGTTAGTCAGAAAACAAAGCCTCAAATTCACTTAGAGATTAATATATCCCCAGATCAAACAACCAGAAATCAAAAAATTTGTAACTCTAACATATTTTTGTAAAAAAAATAGAGACAATTGCGGGTTTTTTCCAGAAAAAACAATGCGGAAGTGGCATTCAGCTCACATGGCAGGTTATCTAATTTACTTATTGATGCCAAAGATAGAGCAGACAAGATGGAGAAATCTGGAATTTATGAGCTTTAGTGTCCAGAGTGAAATAGTGTTCATGTAGGACAAAATGGTCAAAATTTCTCAAAACATGAACATGAAAGGTCTTTCAGATTAGGTGAAAATGATTTGACGTTTTCAAACCATTCCTTGGAATGCAACCACAAACTTCCGAATGTAAAAAATACGAAAATTTTGAACTATGCAAGCAAGGGTTGGAAACTCAATTATTTGGAATCCTTGGAAATTCATAAGCATTGCGGATGTAATCTGCTAAGTGATCAAATCGATCTAGTTTACTCACCAGTTTTCAAATTGGCGTATCCACATTGTCACAGGTAAACAAATTCCAGGTACTCAATCATGTTGAGGACCTCTATTATTACCTACAGTAGGAATATATAAGGGCTATTATTATGACTTATTTTTAGTTCATTGTAATTGTTTGAAAATGTCCTTCCTTATAGGACGAAACTGCACTAACATTATTCACAAATAAAAGCCTCTGGAGACACCCTACATTTTGTTTTATAAGAGAGAGGACATTGGTAGATCAAGATCTTCAGATGATGCGGTGCTGCAGGTTTTCCCGGGTTTTCCTGCAGCTGAAAAAGCAAATGCGCCACTGGAATCAATGAAG